AATCAGGAAATATAGACATTTAAAAGGGCACTGGAGCTGTGGGCTTCTGGGAGAGGATGGTTCCTTTACCCAGCTTTAACTTCAAGTGAACATTTTAATGTTGTATACACAGTATTCCTTTTAAAAAATCCTGTATATTTCTTGAGACTAAAATATTTGTCAGTCTCCAGAGAAGAGTAAGGCCACCTAGAAGAAAAGGCCCTCACATATCTGTTTACAGAAGAAATCAAGTTCAGAATAACCATCGTGGCACACTCTCAAGACTCGGAAAACATATGTAAAATAGTTCAGGCCTCAATATGGGTGTAGCTATAAGAAGCTATCAGAGTTCCTGAGTGACTAGGGAAGGTAGAAAAGTGAAGAAGAGAAAAGAAAAAGAAAAGATAGGAAAGGAAAGGAAATGCCTACCCTCTGATTCCCACACAGCAGCCAATACACATGAATCCCTCTTTATCCTAGAAGCCCCTGGAGGCTGAAAGGACACATAGCTATGACCAAGTTTTACATGACTTTATCTGTTCAGTACTTAGTGACATTACAAAAGGACCTTTTAAAAAAATCATCTTCCAAGTATTTAGAAGAAAATTCCAACTGGAGTTTGCTAGGTATTAGGTGCATATCCACTTCAAGAATTCAAATCACTGGGCAGCACCTATGGCTCAGTGGGTAGGGTGCCTGGCCCATATGCCCAGGGTGACAGGTTCAAACCCAGCCCCGGCCAAACTGCAACAAAAAATAGTCAGGCGTTGTGGTCCCAGCTACTCCAGAGGCTAAGGCAAGAGAATCGCCTAAGCCCAGGAGTTAGAGGTTGCCGTGAGCTATGACGCCACAGCACTCTACCAAGGGTGATAAACTGAGACTCTGTCTCTAAAAAAGAATTCAAATCACTGAAGAAGAATCACAGTTGCGAAGATGATACACAAATAATAGTGATGAAGACCAATAGCTTGCTTAAAAATACAATTTAAAGATGTGATTTGAGTTTTTGATCAAAACTAAAATAAACCACCAAGATAAGTTCACTGTAAAGGTGTGGATTTATTTCTGGGTTCTCTGTTCTGTGCCATTTGTCTGTGTGTTGCTTTTCATGGCAGTACCATGCAACCTGGTTACTATGGCTCTGGAATTAACTTGAAATCAAGTAAGGTGATTGCTCTGGTTTTGTTTTAGCTCAGGAAAGCGTTGGCTCTTGTGGGTGGTTCCGTATAAATTTTAGAATTATTTTTTCTGTTTCTGTGAAAAATGTCATTCATGTTTTGAGGGGTGTTGTGTTGAATCTATTGATTGGTTTCAGTAGTATCAATGTTTTAACAATATGGAGTCTTCCAGGCCGTGAGCATGGACTATCTTTCCTTTTTCGTGTCCTCTTCAACTTCTTTCATCAATGTTTGACAGTTTTCATTATAGAGATCTTTCACAACTTTGAAAGCTTATTCTTAGGTATTTTCACGACTTTGGTTAAGCTTATTCCTAGGTATTTTCACGACTTTGGTTAAGCTTATTCC